AGACTATCTACCATCCCTCCAAAGAAGACCCAAATGGCAGAAGGAAAAACCAGATCTCACATTGAACTCTGTCGTCATGATTATGGATTCACACCTTCCACGAGCCCTTTGGCCTGTAGGAAGAGTGACACGCTTGCTGAAAAGCCCAGATGACCACATCAGAACTGTGGAGGTCTTAGTACAGGATAAGACCTATATCCGCCCTGTCTCCTGTCTGATCCCCCTGCCCTCGCTTCCTGAAGAAGACTGATCCTGATCATATCAACATATTTCTCACTAGAAATATGGGGGCGGCTGTTGTAGAGACCCATCTTTTAGCACATCCCAGCACACCCACTCACTTCACCAGATGCACCTTATTTAGTTCTCTCACCTTTGATTGGGTGTGGTGCTTGTCCTTGATTACACTCACCTGTCACACATTATATGTCACACATTATATAAGGACTGCATTCACTCTTTCCTCACTTCCACACGGGGCGGCAGCTGAGCATTGGCAGTCCATTTGTGTCTTTGTTTCCTTCCTTTTTTGCCTTATTTATTTGAGAATAAAAGGAGTACCCTGAAAATAATTCTGCATTAGATGGCTGCTTTTCTTATTCTAACCGGATGAGCCCATGAAGCTGATTGCTTCCGCCCTGAACCTTCCTCCCTTCAAAACACTGACTTTGCAGATTCTTACAAGTCAGACATCAAAGGGCCCCGAGTGGCTGTACTGTGGACGCCTTCCTGTCATTACTGAAACCAACGCTGTGGTTTCCAGACATCGGACTGCGTGGGACGCGGCGGGAGGCTGAACTAAACGAAACCTGGGAAACGTGCGCCACATAAACACGGTGTTAAGATTCACTTTAAATGCACTTCTGTGCGCCCGGGTGACTGAAGAGCAGGTCAGTGTGCATCCAGCTTACATAATGGAAAAGATCACAGGTCATGGTGCTCGAACTGCTCAGAGGTCAGAGGTCACGTTAGTTTGACAGCCTGCTCACGACAACCGCACGTTTAAGCCGAGAGGCCGTCCCGCGGCGCTTCGATGACCTGGGAAGTTGGCGCGGCAGGAGGACATGCGGGCTGAACCGCAGGACGCGCCTTTATGGCCGATAGCACCGCCCACGTGTCGTGTGGCGTGCCACGTGACTCAGGTCTGCAGGCAGAGCGCCGCCTCGCAGTGAAGCTGAACAAACGAGCAGCACGGCGCAGGTCCCCGCTCAGGTGTGTCTGTCACACTCAGGCCAGCGACGATCACACAAACACCTCCACCCGCTCCTCTGTCACTCCAACCCTCCGCACGTCCTCCTCCGTTCATGAACCTCCCCTGACGTCTTCCTCTTTTCCACCTGCCCGACTGGCCCATCTTCATTGTCCTTCGTCCATCAGAGCAGAGGGCGCCGTGTGCTGCGATTAGCTAGGAGAGGACACGCCCAGCACACAGACGCAGTTTCCAGCACGCCTAGTCCCAGCGTGAGATCACTTCCTGTTCTCGCTGCTTTTCAAATAAAACACGGAGGTTGTGTCCGTCTTCTTTATACAGTCTGTGGGAGATGAGCAGGTGCTGCAGGAAACACTGAAACACACACACACACTTAATGCTGCACGCTTTATTAAAATCCTCCTACAAAAACACGATAGAAAAAGACTCAGACTCAAACACTGAACGTCGTACAGAGACGAAATACACTGTGAGGAAGCAGCGCCTCCTGCAGGACGCCACGGGTCACTACAGCCTCCCTGCTCCGTACTAAAGCTGTGATCGCTCACCTGCTCAGGTGTGTTTGTCGCCTCAGAGCTGCTCAAAATGACTCTGCCTCCATTTTTGTCGTTTGTCCAGCTCGTTACAAAAACATTAACGAGTGACGTCGTTGTGTCTGAATCGTCACATCGAACAGGCTGAAAACAGCAAAGACCGCCTACAAAAGCACTGATTGGATAACGCAGCAGCTGATGCCTCAGGGAGGCGGGTGGCGGTCACTGGGTGGTGCAGCAGGATGGAGGTGGAGGCACTCCCTCGCCTCCTCTAAAATCACTCTAAGTGTCAAACATCACAGCCAGTGTGCAACAAACCTCACGTGACACAAAGACGAGCTCTGATTGGTCGCTCAGAGAGCAAAAAAATAAAAATAGAAGAGGCAGAGGCGCGGCTCCTCCTCCTCACCACTCCTTCTTCTTCTCGTCCATGGAGACGCCCCCGGGCCCGAGCGCCACCACCAGCAGCAGGCCGCCGATCACCGAGGTGGTCTGGAAGAAGTCGTACTTCAGGAAGTCGTGCATGGGCGTGTAGGACGGCACGCTCCAGAAGGCGTTGATGGTGAAGTTGATGCAGAGCAGCCACGCCACCAGCGTGAGCGCCGCCAGCTTCGTCTTAAAGCCCACCGCCACCAGGACCATGAGCGCCGTCCCCACCACGTTCTGCAGGAACTGAACACAACACGCCGTCAGCACAAGGACGACGGTCACGCCCATAATTATTCAGACCCCCAAAGTTACTTTTATTCAACCTGCAAGTTTTCGTCTCCCAAACGATGTGGAGACGAGGCACCGCCGCCGCAAACACGCTGCTCTGCTTTTATTCTCATTGGAGCAAAACGTGCCCCGCCCACAATCATTCACTCGTCTCAGTAATAGAAAAACCTTTAATAGTTATTACAGCAGACGAACGCGTCCTATAATCGCACGTCTCCACGTTTGCTCATTCGTCTTTAGCAGTGAGCTTTCAGGTCGGAGGGTCCCCTCGCCCTGATCTCTAGCTCCGCCCACAGTCTCTGCTGGACTCTGTGGGCGGAGCTGCTCAATGTTAATGTTTGTGCCTGCTAACCGTTTACTTTGCTGTGCTTTGGGTCGTTGTAGTGCTGAGCTGTCTGCTGCTGCCTGATGATGAGGAGGAGGATCTTCATGCTGTTTTTCGTGGTGGCGTTTCCTGTGATGAGCTTCCCCCCGCCCCCCAGGGTGGCTGTAGCTCAGATGGCAGAGCGGATCAGCCACTAACCAGAAGGTCGGTGGTTCGATCCCAGACTGTCCACCAAGCCGCTGCCCACTGAATCGGCTTGGACTGTTCGGACGGTGATTTTAGGACTGTGGATTTCCCAGAGACTGTGACAGTTTGTGAAGAGCGCGAGTCATTCTGGACACTTTTTGCTCAAATGTAAATAAAAGTGACGCCTCTGGTGCCTCGTCTTCTTCTCTTTTGGCAGACGCCCGTGTCATTTCCTGTCAAAAACAACTTGTTGGTTGAACAAAAGTAAGCTTCTGTCAAATCTTGCCAGGAGTTTGAATAATTACGTGGACATGCGTGGACACGCGTGGGTTTGACTCACGCTGAGCAGGCTGAGGTCAAAGTGCAGCAGCGTCATGAACATGAGGACGAGGAGGACGCGACCTCCCAGCTGCAGGAGGTGCTTCGGCGAGCTCTGATGTCCGAGGGAAGGAACTCCGGCGAACACGCTACGCGCCTCCCCCCTGCACTCTGCCAGGAGGAGGAGGAGGCCCCCGCCCAGCGCCAGGTTCCTGCAGAGGAGGACGAGGAGGATGAAGAACAGCAGATCATGTCTTTGTAGCTCCAACCTGCAGCGTCACGCAAACGTGCAGAACGAGCCGTTTCTGTCCACGACGTCGATAAAGTTATTTCAGAAAGGCGTGACGACTCACCTCATGAGGAACTTGAGGTCCCACAGGATGCTGTAAGCCACCATCTGCAGGTCACACAGAGTCACATGATCAGACTCACAGGTAACATTCTGGGACTCACCTGTTTGAAAGTTCACCTGCACCGTGTTGGCAGGACGAAACACGACCTTAACTTTTTCAGTTTAACAGATCTGACCAATCACAGCACTGCATTTGGCATCGAGTGCATGCGCAGCTGCAAACTCGCACCGGTGCTGAACACGCCTGACCACAGCGAGCTGCTGCTCCGGCTCAGCCGGCGCTGCGACATCAGAAACACAGACTAAAGCTTCCGCTCTGGATCAAACAGGGAATCGTCCCGGCCGCTGCCTGCTCCCGCCGCCGCTGCCTGCTCCCGCCGCTGCCTGCTCCCGCCGCTGCCTGCTCCCGCCGCTGCCTGCTCCCGCCGCCTGGATCGTCCACGTTTCTTCCTTTTCTCCTTCGGAAACATCGTCACCTCTTCCTGTGCGCTCCACTTTACCCGGAAATCACAGCGCTTTCAACGTGTCTACAGTACACGCCCCCCCGCACACACACGCGGTCAGCTGTGGCTCTTCTTTCAGAGACAAAGAACAAAACGTTTATGTTTCAAACAGGAAACGTTTACTCTGATTTATCATTTAAGACCACAGCAACTTCCTGTTTGGGAGTCTGAAGGCGTGACGGCGCAGTGAAAACCGACTGAAGCTCACTGACCATCACGTCAAAAACCTGCAATACTAAACATGAAACACGTGTGTGTGTGTGTGTGTGTGTGTGTGTGTGTGTACCTGCAGAGCGATGATCCCAAACAGAGCGCCGCAGGCGTGCTGAACAAAGTTCCTGCTGAGGATCAACACGCAGCAGCCTGCAGACACACACGTGTTACATGTTTAATGTGGAACAACTGAGAGCTCTAAATCACCAATAATCAATCAATCAATCAGAGACTGGTGCAACAACCCAGGTGCTCGCAGAGATCATTACACACACATACGTATAAATGTACAGGCAGGGGACCTCTGTCCCTAACTGTCACCAGTGTGCGAGTCCTCGGAGCCCCGTCTGCATTCGGACCTGCTCGGATCACCACGGTTTTCATTAGATCCTAGTACCTGGTACCAGGTGCTTTAGCAGGTGCTCGGCCGGGGTTTGTCACTACCCGATCCGTACCGGAAACCCGATCGGTACCCCGCATGCGCAAATCTTACGTCACTTCCTCTCTTTGCCAACATTGCGACATTCAATATATTTGAATGATGCGGTTAGCGCCCAGTTAGCTCCTAGCATTTCTCAACAGCTCTGCCTTCTTTTCGACTGCCCGGGACATTTAAACAATGGATAATCCGTATACAAACAAATTCATGCTTTTCTCCTCAAGCGTCCCCCGATTGAGCAACAGCGCCGTAAAATAAGAAGAATGGTGCCTAATTACAGAGTTAATAATGCAGACTTTGTAATATCTCACGTGTAGATTCATCAGCCAGATTAAGTGTTTACTGACAACTGACAGTGATAGCGCACATCATCATCACTATTCCAACAATCCTCTCCTCACAGACAAGCATAAACACACTCGACTATCGCTAAATCAGATTTAACACACATTTGTAATGACGATAATTCAGTTTATAATAGGGTTTATTCGCTCGGTCAGCAGGTGGCGGTATCCTCGTACACTGGGGAGTAAACTGCCATTAAACGAACAGAAGAAGAAGAAAACATCCGCACATGCGCGGTACGGATCGGGTAGACCCGATTTGTACGGTCAGACTTTACACATGCGCAGTAAGGATCGGGGAGTCCTGATCCGTAACTTTCTTTTTATTTTTCGTTTTTGTCTACATTGTACTGAAATGCTTCATTATTGCAAACATTTTAAGAGATACTTGTTATTCTTAACATCTTAACAGATACTCCGACCCATAACTATCGTAAAACGCTACGACCGGAATTAGAAACCTTTCGCGCATGCGGGGTACGGATCGGGTAGTGACAGGGTTCCCAGCGATCTGAGCAGGTATTAAAGTGTGACATCATCAGACTGCATGGCACAGATTGGCTGGTCAGTAGCGTCAGTGTGACGAAGAGCTGCAGATCGAGCAGCAGGTACACCGTCGCCTCCACGTCCACCTTTGCTGTAGCATTCGCCTTGCATACTAATTATGCTGCAGGACGCTCAGACGCGTTGCTATGACGACAGCCACGCAGGTTAGGTAGTACCAGACAGTAATGAGAACCAGGTTAATGGAAAAGGGCCTCATATGTGTACAACGAGGTGTGAAACGCCCGTCCCCACAAGAAGGTGTCAGGGTTACAGTTAGGCTGGGCGTTCAGTGATGGTTAGGATGAGCATTTTGTCAATTAGATGAAAACGTGTGTGTGTGTGTGTGAGTGTTACCCAGCTGTCCCAGCAGGTTGATGAGGACGAAGAGGTTGGCGATGAAGAGGCCACAGCTCCAGGTGGAGTCGATATACTCGCTCTGCTCGCTCCACTGGAGCCACATCCTGATGCCGTCCTCGAGGAAGGTGCTGACCAGGCAGAGGCGGGCCACGTGGGGGAGGTAGTGTTTGGTCACCCGCAGGAACTAAAGCAGCGGGGTGATCAGCACACTGTTAGTCACTTTATTAATGTAGCACCGACTGCGTTTTTGTACATGCGGGGTTTAAAATACAAAGAGGCAGCAAGAGCTGCAGTTCCTCTGACATCCAGCAGAGGCAGCAGTGAGTTGGTCCCCACAGACTCCCATGTTCAAACTTTGCAGCAGAAGTAAATATGTTTACAGCCGGACATCATGCTGCGAGGTCACTGTACTAACAGGCTGAAGCTAAAAATCAGCACAATGTTTCCTTAGATTAAAAACACATCAGCTGCTGATTCATGAGCCACAGCTTCAGGTAGACACGCCCACATATTTATTATTACTTTTAAAATACTTTAACTTGACTCTAACACGGTTGTTTAAATGTGGATTAACCAAGAAGAAGATGATGATCATCGTGTGTGTTTCACGGCTGCGTGGAGGACGTGAGCTACCTGCTGCTGCAGCAACACTTTCTGTGTCGCTCCGTGGCGGAGGGTTACTTTCAGAACTTCCGGTCAGCTGCGCATTGATCAAACCAGACTCCGGTAACAGGTGTTTTCATTGAACCGTTCCCGGTTCGTCACGGCTGTGAGAAGAAACTATACCGCTCGGGCACGTCAGGACCCCGGCCTCGCCTCCGCGTGAGACCCAGCTGAACCACGAATTCGTTACTTGACTCTCAAACGTACATTTTTAGAAAACATTTAAATGTTAATGTGTAAAGCAGCCCTGGAGCGATCAGAGCTCTCCTGAGGTCGAACATCATCTCAGAGGAAAGTCACCCATCATTATTTCCGTTTTCCTACAAGCTGCGAACGTTTCACCAGACTCGATTTAAAATCTGTCACGTTTCAACTTTCCTCGAGTCTCCACAGACACCGTTGGTTTGTAGAAAACACCTGAACACGATCATCCATCGTGTAAAGTCGTTCTTCATTTCGGCCAACAGAACAACTCAATAAAGGTCGCATTTTTGGTGTTTTAGTGAGAATGAATCTGCACCACGGTCTTTCCTGTTCCACCCTCCCGATGACGAAATCTGCTGCTTTGCTTCAAACTTCATGAAAGTTCATTTTAAAGCAACGAAGCTGTTCCGGAGAGCAGCTGCCCTCTGCTTTTCGAGCGGACTAAACTTGTTGTGCAGCAGAAATCACCGAGCTTTCAACAACCAGATGTTTGCGATAACCGGACCGAGTCCCAGCTCAGCGTGTCGCCGCTCCGGGTGCGCGTTTCCCGGGTACGGGAGCTTACCTGGTCCGCCACATCCTCCGCCTGGCTCATGAGGTCTCCGTGTCCCATCTCTGGCTCCGACGGTAAGGCACTTCAGTGCGGAAAAGCAGCTGCCAGCTCACGTCCCGGTCCGGTCCGCAGTGATGATGAAGATGCCCCGCTGCTGCCTCCTCCGACCCACAATCCTCCGCCCTGAGCAGGTAGGGCGCCCCCTGCGGCCGGGCTGGGTACAGCATGCCACGTGGACCGGTGTTCTGACAAAACGTCCTACCTAAGTAGTTTATGCACATTTGTGCTGTCAGCGCAAATGTAAGTAGGTATGACGGTTTGCCACTTAACTTTGCCCATCAGAGTATGCTTGTAGCTCATTCATGAAACCAGGACGGTTTGCCACTTCATTTTACCCGGTAAAGTCACATTCACAAAGGTAGCATGGTTTGGCAAGTAATTTTACCCATCAGAGTATGTTTCTAGCTCTTATTAACAAAGGTAGGATGATTTGCCACTGAATTTCGTGTTGTGCGCATGCGTAGAAACAACGGGTAGGATGGATTCCCAGAACATCGGAACATGAAAGTCTAACCCAGCTCAGATGTGACCTGAACACGTCGGTGGTTGTTCTTTCACGTGAGCTGTGGGGATGTAGAAACACAATGAACGTGATGCACGGCTGAGCCACCAGGGGGCGCTGAATGACATAAACACTGATAACTCTGCAGGATGAATAACAGTGTGATCGTTTCATTCTCTCATAATGGTAATAATTTATTTAACGAAACAGAAGTGTTAATAACCGTTTTATAACATCACACACCACGAGAAACAAAGCCGGTTATGAAAACATGATTTATTAATGTTTGCATATTAACGACGATGAAACTGACCGCTGTCAGTCATTGTGCAGGTGTCAGGTGGAAACCTGCAGCTGTGAAACGTTTCTCCCACTGCAAACAGAACACACATCGGCAGCAGTCCACCTGTGACCTGCAGCTCCTGCAGCAGCCACCAGTCAAACAAAAGAAAGGTGATCAGAGCTTCACCTGGATGCAGCAATGCATTGTGGGACACGGTGAGGCGGTCAGGGTGGAGCAGATCGGTCCTTGTCTCTCTGTCCTTGCCGCCGCCTCCTCTGAGCACGGTGTCTCTAAAACAACAAACAACAGGCAGCTGGGTTACCTGTGTGTGTGTGTCTTCCTGTCTAGCTATCTTTGCGAGGACCGAAATCTGCATTTACCATACTTGTGTGAACCAACAGTCACTTGTGAGGACACACAACCTTGTCCTCGCAAATTTGAAGCATTTTTGAGGCTCCAAATGTGGTTTTAGTGTCAGGGTTACAGCTAGACTAGGGTCAGGCATTCATTTTTAATATGGGGCTAGGGAAAGCATGTCAAGGAAGGTCCTCACTAAAATAGCTGAACGGGGTTGTGTGTGTGTGTGTGTGTGTGTGTGTGAGTATTAGAGTGAAACCTGCAGGTACAGGTGAGATGAGGTCACCTGTCAGGTTCCCTCCTCCTGTGTGGTCTTTAGATCGACTGCAGCAGCTCTGAGCTTTCACTCTGGGCTGTACCTGCTGCACAGGTCCGTCTGTGCTGCTGCAGGGACATTAGCTCACCTGTGACTGTCCACATATTTATGCTGCGCACTCTTCGCTGACACACCTGTTACATACATGAAGTTAGTCATTAAATATAAAGCAGATATGTACCTGCAAGTGGAGGTAGTGTGTGCGTGTCCTGCAGTGTGCGTGTCGAGCTGCAGCTTCACTGTAGAAAAACTTTTTGCAGAGTCGACACATGAAGCCACAAACAGGAACCACAAAACTGCTTCCTGTGGGGACAGAGAGTAAAGCGTCACTTCCTGTTTGTCGCAGAGACACGAGACAAAATCCACAGACACACTGATCTACGCCTTCTGGATTTTCTCTCTACAGATCGTCCACCGGGGGACGACAAAGCTCCATCAGCTGGTTTCGACCTCCGGGACGTACCGCACGCCGTGCTGGGGTCATACTCTGCTCGCCGCTTGTCCTCCTCTTCCTCAGCCACCTGAAACAGTTTAAAGTCGTCACTCCTGAATCGTGATTTCACTCGACGCCACAGGACGTCCTGATTTTACCTTTTCCTTTGTTGCTGCATCCTCTTCCTCGTCAGCTACATCCACTTCTTCCTCCACCACCGCCCCCTCCTCCTCTTCCTCCCCCTCCTCCTCGAAGCAGCCGACAGCATCCACAGTGATGAGCTCCTCCTCCTGAGCCTCCTCCAGGAGCACCTGGGAGGAAACAGGAAACATCAGCTGTCCCACAGAGGGGCGGGACATCCTGCTGAGCAGCGCCCCACAGAGTGGATCCCGCCGTTGACGGTCACGCGAACAGTCGTTGCTTCGCTTTGTTTCACTGAAGTTTTTAGTGAACACAGACTCAGGATACACGTCACCACCAGCGTCTGCGACACTGACCACCTGACAGCCACAGCCATTGGCTTCCTGCTGTCACCTGACTGCCGACGCCCTCACTCACCTGCTGTTTATGTTCCGATGACTTCATGTGCTCCACAAACTTCCTGGGCGTCCTGAAGTGACGTCCGCACACCGGACAGAAGGGCCGGCAAAGCTGCTTGCACATCTGGAACGAACACACACACACACACACACACAGTCTTCTATTGACATTTTAATCTGCACAGTTGGCAAGTACACTGACAGTAAAGGGCTATTCTATTCTATTCTATTCTATTCTATTCTATTCTGATCTCTGTTGGGTAAGGAGGCGTGTCTGCGCTGATACGTCATCATCACGTCTCACTCTCACCTTGTGTCGTTTGGTCCGCCGATGAATGATGACATCACCGCTGAAGTGAGTCTGACAGGTGTCACACCAGCGCTGCGACTCACGGCGGCGCCCCCTGCTGGCAGAGTGACACACCTGAAGGTTTTCAAACTAAACAAATCAGAGCCCCTGATCTGTGTGTGTGTGTGTGTGTGTGTGTTCACCTGTCCTGCGGTGTGTGTGTGTTGAGGTGGATGCAGTGTGTGATCTCCTGCAGCTTCTTCACGTGTTCAGGTCCTGCCATGTGCTCCTGAAACAGCTGGAAATAAACAGAGCACACCTGTAAACACCTGTGCACGTCCACCTGTCACATGACCTGACATCCACAGCTGGTGCAGATGTGCAGACTGAGGTTGGTGACGTTGTGTCTGGTCAGCTGTTCGTCACAGAGCTCAGGTTATTACAGGTGTGTCTGGATGAAGCCACCTGATTGGTCAGGACTCACAGCGACGGCTGCAGAGCCGAGCTCACCTGTTCCAGGACGTGCAGCAGTGGCATCGCATTATTCATCATCAAAGCACTGAGGGAGGGGCACGAACCGCGCTCTGCCCTCTGTGGTCCAGGTGTAACTGGCTGCTCTTCACTACTGTTTCCCCTTCTCATGCAGAGCTCGGGTGCATCCCTGCTCCTGTGTCCCACCTGCAGACAGTCTTTACACTGCCGCCTGCCTTTGGTGGCTTTTTAGCAGAACTGTGACGTTCAGCAGTCGCCTCAGTGTTCTCTCACACAACAAAACTACACGCTAACCACACGCTAACCACATGCTGACTGTACTCCAAACACGCTAAACGTCGCTAATCTTTCACATCTCACTCTCTCGCTCTCGCCGTCGTACTCCAAAAACTCCTCCCTCTTCCTAAACGACCTAATGTCACGTGTTGCTATATCATTTTTTAATTGGTCAACATGGTACATTTTTCCACCAATAGGAAAGGGTCGCAGGAGCGCGTTCCTTAGAAAACACCCGTTTTGTCTGCAGTTCGTGGCGGCTTTGAAGATGATGCTGCTGCGTCAGCCATGTTTGTCGGGTCATCCGTTGTTTTAAATCGGCTGCTAGTCGTCGATCGATGAGCCTCGGAGCGTTCACAGCCGCTCGCTGCTGTCAGTGACTCTGACTTTAAAACAGGAAGCAGGTGCATGCGCTAACTGGGCAGAGGCAACAGCAAATGTTTCCAGATGTTAGCAAAGACTTGCTGTGGAGAAAGCTGTGGATGTCCTGAGTAGGGGTGGGTTTTTATAATCCATTCATTAAAATCCTGAATCGATTTTTTAATATAAATTTATTTTGGCCGAAACGCCAGAACCTCAGGTGAAACCTCACAAAATTTCAACAACCACCAAACAGCTAAAACAGTGAATGAGAGCAGGAACACGATTCTGCGCGGAGCCGCGGATCAGAGTCAGCGAGATGTGACTTTCTCACCGACGCCACGGACACGGTCGGGGCTGAAAGCCGACAGCTCGTTGATGCTGATGTTTCAGCGGGTCGGCGCTTTGTGTTCACACTCTTTTTGCGCCGATTCTAAAGCTCTTAGTTTATCTCTCTCCAAACAACACTGACCGAACCAGGATACAGTCACACTTCATGCACAGCTCTCTCGCTCTCTGTTTCCTGCATTATTCGCTTGCTTGTTACGCACCAGTCTACTGTTGTTTACAGGCTGTCGGTCGCTGTTTTTTTTCGTTTACATACTTCTGAAAAGAAAACCTCATTTCTGCCGTTCAATACTCAACAAATTTAAACTTTCTAAAATTATGCAAAATGCAAAACGCTGTGTCTCTAATAAACCCGCTGGAACTTCAGAGGTGATGTTCATGTGTTGATTCATGGTTTTCTTTCATTTTTGATGTACTGCAGAACATTTTTATAAAATCCAGAACAGGGAAATCTCCTTCATGTTTCTGTGTTTTATCTTCAGCTACTTTGACACAAAGGCCTCACTGTGACGCTCACACCTGTGATAAAGTCTTGCGTGTGTCAGCTTCCTTTTTATTGATACAAAAATATGTAAATGTACTGATCTGAATTATAATATTTCTGACTGTCAAAATTTCCCAGATTCAAATCGAATTTAATCGAATCGATTCTAGAAATCAGTGACGACACCCAGCCCTAGTCCTGAGTGTGCTGAGGACACCTGACTCAGGTAAGACTGAACGAGGAAGAAGAAGAGCCGAGGGTTTCTTACCAGGAGAGAGCGACACGTGAGGTCACAGACGTGACAGTGGAGTCCGCCCGTCTGTCTCTCGGCCGTCCTGTCCGTCTGTCCAAACTCTCGGCTCTCGCTGCTCTGCTGGATGGTGACCTTCAGTGACCCCACGCCCTGCAGCTATAAACACATCACGGCAGGTTACCTGACAGTCAGGTGTGTCTCCGTTACTCTGTGGTTCCGACTGCAGATGGAGCGTGGCATGGTTCTTTACCTCGGCCGCTCTGCTGTCCTCGCTGTCCTCTGCTGCCCCCTGCTGGCCGGGAGGAGGAACATCTGGTGACACAAAGAGGGAAGCTTTATCAATCCGCAGCACAGGACTGAAAATCAGCCTGAAGGATGCCACGGAGACACACCTGCCGCTGGAGCACATGACCCGGGGACTCTGCTGGGCGGAGCAGCGTCGTCCTCCATCCTGTGAAAAACATCAAAAACACACCGAGTGAGTCGAGTTCCTCGGGTGTCAGACAGTGGCGTCGTTTGTTCCTAGCAGACGACCTCCCAACCTTGCTCGCTTTGAATCCGATTTTTCTGATCCTCCCTCCAACCCCACGCCTCCAGGCTGGCTCGGCCCATCAGCACCCCTCTCTTCTTCTGTGGCAGTGGAGCTGCAGCGTGGCCAGCTCTCAGTACTTCCTGTTTCTGACGCCTGGACAAACACAAGGCATTAAACCAGCAGGAGCTGGGGCTGCAGCGGGGACGGGGAGGCAGAGTCTGTTTTGGGTACCTGCTGGGGTGGAGGTGGCCTCCTCTGAGCAGCACAGACAGGGAATCGAACCCTCGCCAATGCACTTCCTGCAGTGGGTATAAAACACCTGCAGGTGGAGACCAACATGTGAAGCAGCGTTTATCAGCAGCACCCACAATGCATTTCACCTTCTATAAGTTTATCACACATTCAAATCCACGACAGACGTCTGAACCGTCACGCCTGCTCTGAAAGACCTGACATGTGTGTCAGGTTCAAGTCAGAGAAACAACACCTGACACAGGTAACTCACCTGTCTGTCCTCTGTGGCTGTTTGACCATGATGAAGGCGTGCTGACCTCTGACCTCTCAGCAGCTGTACCTGCAAAGATGAAGTTTCTCCTCTGACGTCCGTCATATATGAATGTAAAGCAGTTTTCTTACAGATTCATAACGTGTCTGAATGATTTTAATATGAATTCTGGGAATCAGCCGATGAACAAACCAGCTTTAAATCAGCACATTAAACAGAAATCTGGCACTAAATCAACCGCAGTTCCAGGACAAGCAGAGGGAGGAGACTTTTGTCATTTCCAAGTCTTTAACATTACAGGCTTCACTTCTGTCACGGAGCTCATTACAAACCTCGAAGCGTAAAGCCGCGGAGAATCAGGTCTGCTATTTAGTGTGTAAGCCGAATTAAAACCGGGCTTTTAGAGACTCGTAATATGTCTTTATAAATTTCTTATCTGAAACTTTACTCAATCAGCAACGAAACAAACAATAAATTAGCACATTTTCAACAGAGACATCCCACTACTAGCTATTAGGCTAACAAGCTAAACTAACGTCTCCAAACAAACACAGTCTGACTTTAAACTTTTTCCTCTATCGTCCTGTTTAAAGACACGAACTAGTTTAATAATCAGAGTTTACACGTTGAAATTGAACTCCAGGTTACTTTAGCTCACCTTAATGTTCAGCAGATGCTAAAGCTAGCTCAGTTACAAGTAAACACATACTGACGATGATACTTGTGTCTTCTGTCGCCCCCTGCCGGCGCGGAGGAAGACATGCGGCCAGCTGAGGAACTACAGGGTTCAGATCCTGGGCCATCTGACCTCAGGAATTCGCATGATAAGGTGGGGCCAGGTTTCACAATGAACACACCTGAAACTCTGGCTGATTGGGACCCACACCCAGTTTCACACCTTGGCTCAGGCGATTAGAGGATCATCAGGGGGCCCTTTGGCCCCCCGGGGGGGGAAACTCCCACTAGGTTTATATCTGGGACTCTCCACCATTTGACCTTAGAACTGAAGAAGCTTCTCGGATGAGAGGTGAAACGTCTTCAAGCAACTTAAAGAAGTCCAGACGCTTTTCTTTGCAAGCTCCTTAGACTACGATGACCTGGATGACTGAGAACCTTCACAGACATACAGGGTTCAGAGGTACACGAAATCATCTGTGCACGTTTATATTTGTGCTGTTTTCTGCTACAGTCGGCTTTTCAGAATTCTTTTTTCTGTGTTTCTGTTTCTTCCCAGTCACCAAAACCATTTCAGAAATAACAGATGGGCTGCAGATTTATCCAATAAATTCAGCTAACAGCAAGAAACAGTAAGTAAACTGCATAAAGAGCAAAAATGCAGTTTGTGTTTTTAGTTATTGTTTAATTTTTAATTTATTGTAAATATTGTGCATAATAAAAATAAATTTAATTAATAAAAAGTGAAATGGTTTTTTTTATAGCTTTTGTGTATTTTACAACAGTTTTGGATTACATTGGTGATCAATGTGCATCACCCCTAAAATAAAACAAAATAGAATCTGTGCCTAGGCTGCGCATATTTGCATGTAGCAGTGAGTAAAACAATAAATGAAGTGGAGTGTTCTTTCTTCAGCTGTGTTTCGTGGCCTCTGATTGGCTGGTCTGGAAGTCTGGTAGTTATTTGCAGCTTGTGGTAAATCTGCTGGAATTTCCTGGAGACGAGCCGCAGTGTGTCGCAGACAGGAAGCACTTCCTGAGATGATCTCTCAGAGATTTATGGCGGAATAAAAGCGTCTGAGTGTGAACAGTAATGTTTCTGACAGAGAGCAGCAGTCGTTATATTTCATCTGCTGTGTCACGTTGGGCTCAGCTGCTGTAACGTCTCACAGTAATCATCCCAGCGCTGACGGATGTACAGCTGAGGTGCTGATCCTGGACAAATGCAAGACTCCTGGAGGTCGTGCCTCCCTGTCGTCATTATTTTGATATGAGTGACCAACCCGTTCTCACTCCCGACGCGTAAAATAATGACGTGATGATGCCAATAAGCAAAGCAGCTGATGTCTTTATAGCAGCACACACACACACACACACACACAGAGTTGTTTTCATATCTTAGTGGGGACATCTAACTGACATAATGCCTTCCCTAGCTGCTTACTCTAACCATAACCTAACTGTAACCCTGACACCAAAACCACGTTTCAAAAACAAAGTGCTGAGCTTTTTAAACGTGTTGTGTTGGGCTCGGGCTGCAGGACCTCCTGAAACAGGCCGGACTGAACCAGATTTAGATTCTTGGAAGTCGGAGTTCCTCTGAGACAGCAGCTGGAATGAAATCCTCTCCATGCATCTGTCTGACATTCACAGGAAACTGAAGCAACATGTGGTGAAACGATCAGCCAGAAGCAAAGCCAGGCCGTGCTCCAGCTGCTCTGAAGCCTCCACGTTCCATTCAGGCTCCTCAGCACCGTTAGCCTTCAGGGCTGAAACATGAAGCACCAAAGCCTGCAGTTCCTCTAGCATCCAGCAGAGGCAGTAGTGAGTCAATCCACACCAGTGACTGTAGAAAACATGGGCTGTATCCCAATTCAGGGTCTGCAGCCTTAAAGGCCGCATTTTAAGGCCGATTACGGCATTAATTAGTTAGATGCCTTCTAACTAATAGCCTGCTAGCTAGCTTCTAACCAAGCTAGCTAGCAGGAGTTGATAACTCCCTCTCTTGCCCAAATAAATTCATTTGAGGTTGCAAGAACCCAAAATGGTACTAGCCCAAACTGAAATGCCCCTTTTTAGAGTTAACTGGGCAAGCACTGCCCGCCCTGCTTGCCCAGACATGCACTGGAAGGAGGAAAAACTGTCTATAACCTCAGTGCTATGAGTGAAAATGTGAAGGTCTGTTAGAGGCCAGAGGTCAGTTTGTAAACCTTTATTCATAATTTTAAAAAAAGTTTCACACAACAGATCTGACAGGAGACGCAGGCTCGAACGCCCAGCACGCCAAGTGTCCATGTCACTGCCCCGTGTGATGTCAGAGTAATGTTCGCATATACAGAGAAGAAGAAAATCAGAGACGCCTGTACAGAGGAGGTGACATCATGAAGCTCAGTAGATGTCCTGGTCATAGTCTGCGATGTCCATCGGCTGCTTCCTGTCACTGTTAGCCAGGTAGGACGACAGCTCCTCTGACAGAGCCGCAGACAGGTGGAGACAGAGACACGTCAGTGAGACAAACCCGAGTCTTTTAGTTTCTGTTTCTCCCATTTCAAACGCCTGTCTCACCTGCTCCCAGCACTCCCAGTACAGCCGAGGCCGAGGCCGTCCCCAGGTTGTTACGAGCTGTGCAGCGATAGGTCCCAGAGTCCCCCGTCTCCGCCCCCTCAATCTGCAGCCAGCTGGAGAGCTCGAACTTCAGAGGACCGCCTCGAGACTGCGAGAGAGACAATCAGACAGGTACTGAAATCTGTCCCAGAGGGGCGGGGCTGCAGGCTCAGGCGCACGTGTACCTGGACGGAGATGTGCGGGTCGTCTCCGGGCAGGACGACGTCTCGTCCCTCCTTCGTCCACTCGACCAACGCCATCGGAAACGCAAACACTTCACAGAGAAAGATGAGACTGCTGCCCGTCCCGTTCACCTGACTGTGAGGAGGCACCTTAATGACCGGCACTGCCACAGGTGAGAGAGAGGTTAGGCTGGGCGGAGCAGAAATCTCAGACTGTGTGTGTCAGTCATTACATGTGAGGAGCGATCAGCTGACTGATGACCTCAGAGAGCTCACATACAAAGATGAGATGACCTCTGACCTGCAGTTTTACTCTGTGCTGATTTCAGGTGTGTGTGCTCGTGTTTTTGGGCCCTCTGGGGTCCCGTAGGCGCTCAGTGTGAGGCGACCGTTTCCTGGATGAAACGTGAGTTCGCCCCTTTGCTCGATATCTGACATCTGCTCTTCGTTTCCATTTTTAACTGAAGCCGTGCACGCCTGACCTCTGAACTCTAATGCAGATAAAATGGCGCTCAGCTTGTGGAGCTCAACACATCAAAACAGCTAAACCAGCTCGGCCTGGGCTCCTCCTCTTTACTCCGAGGGCTAAACCACAGAGACGGGGTGAACTGAGAAACTCATCATCATCATCATCATCATCATCAATAGAGCAAGCGCAATCGTATAAATATTTCAGGACCATGATCAATGAAAACTGAACTGCGATGAGAATTGCAAATCAGTCTGCAGAAAGGGTCACAGCGCATTTACTGCCTCAGAAAACCTGCTCATTTCCACACTGACCGAACTATTTGAACTTTGTTGCGTGGTTCGGTCACACCTCTGTCACAGAGCAAACTCACTGGTGGTCTGACAGGTGAGTCACAGCCCTGTTTACCTGCCTGTACTCTAAACAGGTACAGACGATGCTTTATCACTTCTTAATAATGGCTCCATCCTCTACGGGGTCAATTTCAGCTTCTTGCCTCAGAATATGTGTGTGTCCGGTTTAAATATGTGTGCTGTTTTGTGAAAGGAAGCCAAACGATGTCATTCCTCTATAAAGCAAATTTACCTGCAGGTAAAAGTAAAGGAATCATCACCATTATCATCACATGTGAGCTCTCCCAACATATGTACCTTTAAAAATATGAATGAATGAGGTGAGCAGTGGAACAGCAGGTGGTTACCTGCCCTGTGGCTCCCACCTGTCCTGCCTCAGGTGTTCCTACCTGTCCTGCAGGGGCCCCTCCCCGCGGTGTGGAGCTCGGGTGTGGAGTAGACGGCCTCCCTCAGCTGACACATGTTCATGTATGTTCTCCCGTCAGAGCCGCACACCGGCTCCTGCTCCTCACACACGCACTCCTCCTCTTCATCCTCTCCTCCTCCTCCCGCCTCACACCGCAGTCCGCTCCCACACAGCCCGTAGAACACGCTCCGGTTCCCGGGGTCGCAGGGCTGGCCCTCTAGGTTCCCGCACTCCAGGCAGCAGCCGCAGGAGTCCGGCACCAGCCCGGCCCGGCAGCCGCCGGGCAGCGAGCACCGGTCCGGCTGGCACGGCCCGCAGAGCCCCGGCGGCGCTCTGCACGGGCGGAGGCTCAGCCAGAGACAGAGCAGCACCAGAGTCCGCATCTTCATCCGCCGGTACCGGCGGGACTCTGACCGGGAACAGAGACACAACAGAGCCCGGGCTCACACCGGCATTCCCGCGTCAGACACCGACAGCCTCCGGTCAGAGTCTCGGTAGAGTCTCTGGTTCAGTCCCGGTAGTGTCGTTCAGCGTCCCGGGCTGCTGACGGGCTTTCTGTCTGTGGCAGGTTTGAACAGCTGAGCTGCTCGCGCTGCTTCACTGCACACACGCGCCAGACGCCGCTGTCACGTGTGTCACAATGGACGCAAACAACAGACAGGTTCCGGTTTGACCTTTCAAAGTAAAACATCGTTACAGAGAGAACAGCAGCTCAGACTCTTCATATTCAAATCAAATCAAATCACTTTTATTGTCACATCACATGTGCAGGTACATTGGTACAGCACATGTGAGTGAAATTCTTGTGTGTGAGCTTCACAA